GCAAGCTACTGCAATGAGAGTGCAGCGATGAGTACTAATTGCTTCCATGGCGCAAGCACGAGCTGGGGACGACGGCTCTGCCATTGGCTTGCAGCTGTCGCTGGGATAAATTGGATCTTAAAACGACGCAGTTCCACAATTTGATGACCTAATTAACCAATTATATATTGAATAATATTTATGAAGTCCCTTTTATGCTCACATTATTTCAATTTCATCACATCAGAATATAAATTTTAAATTAATATCAGCTATATCCTTATAATCAAGGAATTTCCCAAGGCAATTCTATGTATTTTCAAGGGCAATATTACCATGGGAATTGATCAAGTAAAATTATATGAGTAATGTTATAGTTACCGAAGGATGCGCACTGAGACGTGACGAAATCCTGACCGTCAATTCATTATAAGTTAATATTAATCAACGGTCAAGATTTTATCACGTTATTCAGTGTATGGATTCGATGTGTACTTTTCGGTAACTTTATCATTTTCCTAATTATATTTCTTAGGGAATTTTTATGCCCTAGGAAATTGCTCATAGGAAATAAAACTGTTTTTTTTTTTTTTTTTTTTGAATTCTTTTGTAGTGAACGTTCCAAATCTGATAGTCTATACTTTAGATGATATTAACACAGCTAACTACCAGAGGATTTCAGATAGAAAGTAAGTATGTACAAGGTGGATATGGCCCTATTTATAAGGTACCATACTATATTAGACTGTATCGTCATTTACGGAACAAGTTTCTTGTACTAACTTTAATTTTTTTAGTCTTAATAGGTTATTCAGTGAGCACTCTATAAATTAATTAATGACGTGACAAATAAGGTATGGTGGTTAGATGAAATGTAAATCCTTTTTTTTGTATTTGTCTTTAAGTGGGTCAAGATTTTTATTATTCATATTTGCAAATGCGTTTTAAAACAAGTGAATAAAAGTCAAGTCAACGTCTTTTTGACTCAATGTCGGACAGCAATTTCATAACAACTTCCCATGCACGTAGAATTTATTCTTACTTTAATAATAAGTCTTAGATTATCTATCCAGACCTTTTATTTCTTCGTTTAAAGAATCATAGAAATAAATTATTATTTTCTTTAAAATTTTTTTATTAATGACTTATTATTTGAAGTTCTAAATAATATTTGTCTTTTAATTACGCATATAATTTATAAGGACTTTGAATATGATTACACNGTGGCGCCACGCAAGAAGCTCGCTTAGGCCGAGAGAGCTACTCTCGCTAGTGAAATTGCGTTGCTTACATAGCCGCCACAAGCTACTGCACTGATGAGTACTAATTGCTTCCATGGCGCAAGCACGAGCTGCAGACGACGGCTCCGCCATTGGCTTGCGGCCGTCGCTGGGATATATATTGGATCTTAAAACGACGCAGTTCCACAATTTGATGACCTAATCAACTGATTATATACTGGATAATGTTTATTAAGTCCCTTTTATGCTCACATTATTTTAATTTCATCACTTTAATATATTAAACAGTCCCTCAAATTTTAAATTAACATCAACTATATCCTTATAATCGAGGAATTTCCCAGGGCAATTCTATGTATTTTCAAGGGCAATATTACCACGGGAATTGATCAAGTAGAATTATATCCTTTTCCTAGGTAGTTTTTTTACCCTTGAAAAAATTCTTATTTTCTGGGGCATTATTTTTAAGGCCTTAGGAAATTGGTTGGAGGAAATAGAACCATTTTTTTACGATGATCATGTTTCTTCTAAATATGTTGTTATTCTTTGTTTAAACAACACGATTTCACAAACTAACACCTTCTCTTTGACGATGATCGTATTCCTCTTAAATATGCTGGAAGAGACTTTATAACAGATAAAACTAATTTCCTAATTCTACCAAATATAATGTTAATAGTTTTGGGGTTTTACTTCTACTTCTACATATCATATCATAATTAGTGGCAAAAAAATTTCCCTTTTATATGACCCATATGAAAGTTTGAGCCTTTGGATTATGTAAGTTAATTTCCTTAAAACTAATATTGGTTCTAATATCTATGTATCAAGACGTAGTTACCACTAGAGCAAATTTTTTTGATAATTTTTTAGATGAATCAGTAAAAGATAAATCTTTATCATCATGTAAATTAACGAATTGCATGCACATATATAGCTTCGTTATGTATCCAGAAAGTTCAAGTTGATAGAGCGTACATGTTTTTTTATATGCTCAAACTAAAAACCTCAATTAGGACAATTTTTAAAAAGTCTGCTTTCTCAAAACAGAAGCATTATACAAGATAGTTACAAGGTTATTCAATGAACACAAGCATGTTTTTTTTTTTTTTTTGTATATATTTGTCCTTGAGTAGGTCAAGATTTTATTATTCATATTTGCAAATGCGTTTTCACATGGCCTTAAAACAAGTCAATAAAAGTCAAGTCAACCTCTTTTTCAAGTGTTTTCTCTTCTTTGCTACCCGACCAACATCCCTTTCTAGCGGCGACTTCATTATATTTTCACTTGATTTGATTTCTATTGTGCAATGGTTGAAGTTTCTATCACGTATAAATAGTGTCGGCAACAAATACAACAGTGCTTTCCTGATACGTGTATAAATGTGACCAGAAGAGTTAATAGATAAGAAATTGGGTTCAAGCAGCTTTTCAAATGGTGCCCAAGATTATTATTTGTTGTTTCTATGTTTTCCTCTCTCTACAATTGTGCCCTTCAATAGCGCAAACCAATTGGATCAGGGTTGGTATTACAGGTATTCCTCAGAATACGGATTCCCATTTCCAAAATTAATTCTGCTTTCTTCACTCACATGTGTGTGCTTATACTGTTGTGAATTCCACCTCCTACCAACTCTCTTTATCACCACCTGATGAAGAAAGCTTGTCCACCTTTGCAAAAACTATGAAAAAAATAACCCATCAGTCGCTATACGCTATGTGTTGGGGGTAGCGGTGTAAGTTATTCAACCTTTCTTCAATGGTAAGCAATTCTTCTTACAGAAATCCTTCATCAATTCCTCGATAAAAGTAGCCAGACTTTACGGTTTACAGGAATAGACTTCTATTGGAATTATCCAGAGACAAACTCTGATGGGTTCAACATGGGAATACTCCTCAAGAGTGGAGAGCTGCTATTGATTCAGAGGCAAGAAACCAAACAACTCGCAACTGATCTTGACAGCACAGGTTAAATATTCACATCTGTGTCTTCATAAGTTACCCTACTGAGAAGATGCAACAACATTTGGATTGGGTCCATGTTGTGGCTGAAGGATACACCACTCCTCTCATGACAGACCTTACAAGCGCTCATGCAACTCTGTATGACCCAAGTACTTTTGTTAACACAGATTACGGTATAAGAGAATGGATCGATCGAGGATTATCAGCTAATAAACTGGTTTTGAACTTGCCTTTCTTGGCTTTCATGGAAGCTCGAGAATCCGTGAACAATGGCGTTGGTGCACCAGCAACGGGACCTGCCATTTCAACGGACGGATTCTTGACCTACAAGCAAATAAAATATTACATCAAGCAATATGCTCCTGAGTTCGTGTGGTACAACTCAACTTATGTGGTGAATTACTGGAAGAGGGAACACTTGGATTGGGTTTGATGATGTTGAGGCTATTACAGCAAAGGTGTCTTCTTATGCCAAGGAGAAGAAGCTGCTTGGCTACTTTGTGTGGGAAGTCTCTTTCGATGATAATTGGGTGCTTTCTAGAACTGCAGGTAGGCTATGATCAAAAGAAACAAACTACTGTATGCAATCAATACTATCACTCTCCTATTCATTCGAATTATGGTCTTTATTCCCGCGCGCTGTAGTTAACATATTGTGTTTTTTTGTTTTTGTTTTTGTTTTTTGTTTTTTGGCCCCAGCTGGAGTTGCTATAAATGATTCTTCAGTTCACGAAGATAATAAAAATGGACAAAATAATAATTCTTCAGTTCACGAAGATGATAAAAATGGACAAAATAATAAGAGGCCTTTGTTATTAGTCCTTTTTCCTACAACAGCAGCTGTTGTACTTCTATTAGGAATATTTGTGATATTTTACCGCTGGAGGAGAGATCTCAAATTAAAAGGTAAGTTCCTCAGTTTCTTTACAATAAATAAATAATAAGCAGTTTAATGTGTATGTGTTATAATAATTATTATTTTTTCTCTCTCTCTTTCTCGGTTGACAGGGATGGTGGGGTTCACTAAAGAATCCGAAGATAAAGCAAATAAAGAGGCATCTGCTTTTAATGGAAATGTTCCCAATCTGATAGAATATACATTGGGTGATATAGAGGCAGCAACCAATGGATTTTCAATTGAAAATAAGCTTGGACAGGGTGGATATGGCCCTGTTTATAAGGTACCTTTAGTAAAGCTATATATTTATCATTAAATATTTAATCTTTAGCTTAATATTTTTGGCATGCTATAATTTTAATTTAACTTTTAAAGGAATAAAAAAGTTTAAAGAATTTAATTTATCTATTGAAAGGTACCAATTAAAGTGTATTTTACTAGGGAATATTATCCGATGGACAAGTAATAGCAGTGAAGAAACTTTCAAAAACATCCATGCAAGGATTTGAGGAATTCAAGAATGAGGTTATGCTTACTGCCAAGCTGCAACATATAAATCTTGTCCGAGTTTTGGGTTTTTGCATTGACAAAGAAGAAAAGATACTCATCTATGAATACATGCAAAACAGAAGCTTAGACTCTTACCTTTTCGGTTAGAATTTTATATTAAATTTTCGCATACAACATTTCAATATTTTTTTCCTCCTTTGGGATTAGCTTGGAGCAGTTACAGTCTTGATGATTAACTTATGATTAAATTTAATGCAGACCCCATTGGACGATTTATTTTGGATTGGGAAAAACGTGTGCATATCATTGAAGGAGTTACACAAGCGTTTTTATATCTTCAAGAATACTCAAGATTTATTGTTATTCATCGAGATTTAAAAGCTAGTAATGTCTTGTTAGATGGAGATATGAAGCCAAAAATATCAGATTTTGGCATGGCCAGAATATTTAGTAATGATGATCTTGAAGCAAACACAAGCCGTATTGTCGGAACAATGTAATTTTCTATACTTCTAATGCTATATAATTGTCTCAAGATTTCTCATGCCTTATATATTACTTTGTTTTTGTTTTGTGATAATCCAATGCAGTGGTTATGTTCCTCCTGAGTATGCTCGAAAAGGCATATACTCTACCAAATCCGATGTTTATAGTTTTGGGGTTCTACTTCTACAGATCATAAGCGGCAAAAAGATTTCCCTTTTACACGGTCCGAATGAATGTTCGAGCCTTTTAGACTATGTAAGTTAATTTCTTTGAAAGCTAATATTGGTTCCAAGATCTATGTATCAAAATGTACTTACCAATAGAATAAATAATTTCATAATTTCAGGCATATGAGCTATGGAATGATGGTAAAGGCATGGAGTTTATGGATGAATCACTAGATGATACATATTCATCCTATAAATTACTGAAATGCTTGCAAATAGCTCTATTGTGTGTCCAAGAAAATCCAACTGATCGACCATCCATGTTGGAAGTTTTCACGATGCTAAAAAATGTGAACACTAATATAATGATTCCAAAAAAGCCCGCTTTCTCAAAACAAAATGAACAGAATAAACATACAAGAAAGTTGGAAGGTTATTCTGGGAGCACCTCATCAATTAATGATGTAACAATTTCAGATTTTGTAGCCAGATAAATTATATACTATTAGCTTTTGAGGTTGGTAATTGATAATTTGTGTCTTGCAATTCTGGCAAACTAAACAGCATTCATCCCTTTGCTGTAGTGTGGGTTAAATTTATTAGGTGTTGTTTTGTAATACCCTATTCATCAATTAATATAATTGTTACTCTAAATTTTCAAATAGCATAAACCAAAAATCTGTGCAACAGAAAGCACATTTCTTAGGCAAATGTCCAAAAGCAGAGCATAAATAGAAATTTTGGAAAAGCAGAGCATCAATGGATGGCCTTAAAACTGGCGTAAGAAAATATGAACTTGTTCTTTCACTAGAAAAAGGATCTGTTCATCTGTCTCCAACAATCCTTTTCATCGCTTAACTTCAACATGGCTCCAATATTAAAGTTGACACAGATACCTTCACCATCTATTTCAGCATTTAAAGAATTCATAAAAACGATTTGAAGAACTGAAGCTTTTACTTAGCTAGTAATTCTGGAGTCCCGGAGGATTAATTGAGGTTCGTGCAAGTAAGCTCGGACGCTTTTGGTAAAAATAATGGCAAGAGTATGGAGTTTATAGATGAATCACTAGAAGATACACATTCATCATGTAAATTAACAAGATGCTTGCAAATATCTCTGTTATGTGTTCAAGAATGCCTAATTGAAAGACCATAAGTATTCTTGATACTGAAAAATGAAACTATAGATATGATGATTCCTAGGAAGCATGCGTTCTCAAGACAAAATGAAACACATAAATCAACAATGCAGTTGGAGGGTTATTCAGAGGGCAATTAATTAATAAATATGAACTTGTTCTTTCACCAGGGAAAGAATCTCTTCATTTATCTGCACAAATCATCCTCATGGCTCAACTTCAACAGGGTTCCAATATTAATTAAAGCCCACTCTGATACCTTTAACTTCTTTAGAAATAGTACCTGCAAATAAATTGGAAACTCTAGTTAATCCTAATGTGCCTCTTCAAAGTATAATAAGATAATGCATACTGTTGATGCGTGATTTTGACACCAACTAATCGACACGTGCGTAACGTTGATTGGTCAAGAGACGCACGTGATTATAGATGAAATGTAGAGTAAATGCAACAATGAGAGCTTTTTAAAGTGGTTCGGATGCTAAGGTAGCAAATCCTACGTCCACTGATAGTTTGTATTAGAATCGTGGGTCAGGTCGCAACAGTGGACTGACTTACAAATAATTAGGGAAAAGTAAATACAAAAGTACAATGATAAGAGAGAGAGAAAGCTAGTTCAGAGTGCAAGAAGGCCGACTGCCCTTAATGAAAGGGATCTCTCCTTTTTATAGTGAGATAAGTGCAGATAACCATCATTAAATCCGTGGGTTCGTGCGAATGTTAGGACTAAATCCGGCTTTACGTCACATTGCTCACCTTCCAAGCTGATTTTACGCGATTTGGAGCAGGGAAATGGACACGTGGGAGCTCCACGGCGCCTTGCATGCCTGACATGCGCTTACCGTTCTGACGGGAGCAGGTCACCCCCATCACGTGATTTCCCACGTCAGCCCTTGATTTCCCAGGTATAACAAAAAATGAATATCCTAAAACCGGTTATTGATCCAAGATTGTCTTGGAAAGCCCAATTGTTTTTTCTTACAAAGAAAACATTAAGTTGAGGTTTCAGTATTTATGTTAGAATGTAAACATGTTTTGGTAATTGATGAAGATGTTGCGGCTTGAATTATTAGCAATTAAATAAGTTTGATAATTCCAAATAATATGATAATTTCATGCATATGAGTTGTGGAATAAGGGTAAAGGCATGGAGTTTAAGGAAGAATCACTAAACTAAGACTCCTTAAATAGGAAAATTCCTATGTAAGGAGTTTAAGTTTGGGAATATTTTCTTTACTTTTTCTATTGTGAGTTGAATTAGGAAAGTAGAATTGGTTTATGACTTTACTTTGAGTTAAAGTAGGAGAATGAAATTAAATTATGAGAGTCTTATTAAGAATATAAATATGAATCTTATTAGAAATTGAATGTCTCATATACTACCTATAAATATAAAGGTAAGAACCAATTCATGATTATGAGAGAAAGAATGTGAGACCACGAGAATTTTGATGTAACAGTTATTAAACACGACATGATAGAGTGTCCTAAAAATTGGGATTGTTCTCGCCTTATGTAATAGGTTGATGGTACTAAACACTCTTGTGTATCATGTTCATGAAATTATAATAAATTTCTCTCATCCGTAGATATAGACAAATTATGTCTAACCACGCAAATATTGTGTCTAAGTGTGTATGAGATATTCTTCACATATTTTTACTCCAATTTCTAACAATTTCTAGTTCGTTTACTTTGACCGTAAGACTTCTATGGCAAGTGGCAACTCGGTTATTGTTTGCCAATATATTTCCACGACAATTATTAATTATCTCTTTTTCCTTTTAAGGCCCCCACATTATAGCTGGATATATTTTAACTTCTATGCCGTGTCATTAACTCTATGCTGTCAAATCTTTGCTAAAGAAGAAGACCAGGACTTTTAAATGACAACATTAATTAGGTCTACTTTCCCAACCCCAACTAGATGAAAGAAAAAGAGAAAACAAAATAGTGAATTGATAAAAGATTTTGAATTTTCTCCTAATCAATAGAAGTCTTTAATTAAGGATCTTGAGATAAGATAACAGCGTATTAAGATTCTCATCCTTGACCATCCATGTTGGAAGTTTTCATGATGCTAAAAAATGTTTTTTTTTTTTTTTTTTATTATTCCAAAGAGGCCTACTTTCTTGAAACAAAATGAACAAAATAAATTTACAGGACAGTTGAAAGAAGATTAACCAGGGAGCACTTCATCGGTTAATCATGTACCAATTTTAGATCTTGTAACTGGACTAGATGAATTGTTTAATGTAGCTTTTGAGATTGGAGAAGTATATCCTAGAATTCTCACAAGCACTGTAATTTTTTGTTTGTATAATTATTCCTTTAAGCATGTTGAGAGATTTAAGATCTTGTTCGGGCGTTCATATGGAGGTAAGATCTTTGCATTGCGGTTGTAATGGCATTTGCAATATTTGTCTCTGTATTATCCTTTGATAGCAACATTTAACTCACTTCCTTTTTTCTAAACTTTCATGCCTCATTAGCTGGACATCCTAATGCTATGTATTTTCAAAAAGAGACGAAGAGATGAAGGGCATGCAGTTGCTTTCTAGTCTATTTTTCTTTTCTGCTTTAATTTGTTGTTGTTGTTGTCTTTTTATCTTTGCTAGACAATTAAACTTCCTTCTTTTGTTGTTGAATGAATTTTGAAACACCTTCCAGCTGAATTTTATATAATGTTTGTGGTTCAATTTTCATCTTTAAGAAGTGTGTCAATGGTGTGTTGTGAATCACTCAATTTTCATCCTTTTATTTAATTTAAATAAAAAAAAAAGGGTTCAAAACCGGTTAATCGCCAAACCGAACTGGTAATTATTCAGCCTCTCGGCGTGAACAGCAGTTCAGCAGCTAATATGCCATTGTCACAACAAACGTCAAGTGCTTTGCAATCATCTCAAGACAAATACGTCAAAATGCGGGAGGTAAGTCAAGTAAATTTTTTGTTTTAAAAATGCTGAAGATAATTTCTCAAACTGTAGATAATTGTCCTCTGTCTTCTCAGCATTGATGTTGGCTTTGCAATCCTCTTAAATATTTATTTTAGTTGAACTCTACAAAGATACTTTTATTTGGACTATCGGCTAACATGCATACTTAGTATAGAATCAAAATTACTAAGGCTGTGCTAAGCCTTTTTGTCATTTATGTAAGAACAGAAGTTTTATTATCCTTTAAGATGGGCACAGTCCCCTAAAGTATACATTCCCTTGTATATACCCAGAGTTGTGAATTTAGAAAGACCAAAAGTACCGATAAAAGTTTTAGCAAGTTTGACTCTTTGATTTTTGATAGTATGAATGTGAAACCACTGATTTTTCTTGAATGGTCAAACTGCAGGGAAATTTATCTGGACAGAGACAAGGGCAGCCTGTCTTTATCACCAAAATGGAAGTATGCTCTCAAACTTATGATAAGTTGTTATTCTAATATCAGAATATTTCCTTTTTTTTAATCCTACGTTCTTTTCATATATCTTGTTTTGTGTGTTTTTAAAATTGCATAGTGCCTTCAGTCTTAAACTTGGACATTGTACCCATTTCATCTACTTTTGTAGAATTCCATCAAACACGTAAACTGACTATTTATTTAATTGTGGCAGGGTTATAGGAGTTCATCAGCTTCTGAGACGTAAGTTTAGAGATTGGTTTTCTATATATATATATATATATATATGAATAAATGAAAAAAAAGTCTAGTGAATGTTATCTATACTTAAAGATGCTTAAATTTTTAACCCCTATATGTGGGTGAATTGTTAACCATTGGTTTCCAGCCAGAATGCCATCGTTAACATTCCCCTGGCCAGTGGCCACCTATTTCGGTCGTTTTCTATCTTCACCAATTTGGTCAACCTTGCATTTGCCTTGGAGTCATTTTCTATTCTAGTTTCAGCCTGACTTCTCTTCTACTGTTTGCAGGGTTGCAGCAATCTATTTTACTGCCTTTTTATCTCCCTTGGATCTGTTATTTTTCTGTGTGTTAATTTCATTCATTTGACTAAGGAAATATGATGGTAAGGCAAATTTTCTAATTTTTCGGGCAATGAATTAGCACGGCTTTCTTGGAAAACTGCAAGAAAAGAAACTTGTAAGTCATCTGATGGCTGAATTAGAAGGGTGTTATTTAACATTTTGACCTTATCCCCTAGTCAAAAATTGATTTTTGATTCTTCAGGTTTCTTTCTATATCCAGCATTTAAGTCTGTCTTATAATTTTCTAGATGAATCTAGATGTACCATTATCCACTTATTTAACTATTGTGGTAAGGTGGGAATAAAGAAAAAAGATAATGTGATAGCAGTAGCTGAACACAATAGCACTTAACTGACCAACATGTGGTTCTTA